CCAAATGGTTTGCTTTTAATGAGAGTGTGTCTACATATTATTTGCATAATTCATTTTTGAAGTAAAACATATAAAGCTAATGGGAGATTAACATTTTCCTTCTTATAAAATCACCAGTGCTCAGGTTCACCCCCCAGAGGCTGACCATGGGAGGGGATGCCACCACCCAGATCCTCCTCTGTGGAAAGGGCAGAATGTCATCAAGAATGAAGACACAGCCCTGGCTAATGTGGCTCAGTAGTCAGTGTCGGCCTTCCCACCCAAGGGTCATGGGGTCATTTCCCAGTCAAGGACAAGTACCTGGGTTACAGGTTCGATCCTGAGTGCGGGAGGAAACCAACTGATGTGTGTGTGTGTGTCTCTCCTCTCTCCGTCCCTCCCTCCTAAAAAAAGTCAGTGGGAAATATCCTGGGGTGAGGATTACCAACCACAGGAATGAGGACAGAGCTCAGGGAGGGTCGGACCCGAGTGGCCTAGGGCACTGGGAGAGCCACACTTCCTAAGAGAAAGAGCTCCTGTGACCAGGCAAATGGCTCCAGATAGAGCTCAGTGAGGGCCCTGGGTGGAAAATTGTTTGTTGAGTGAATGGATGAATGAAGGTTGTTTCCCCAACACTGAGAATCCTCACGAGAAACTCAGCCACAGACACACAGGTTAACTCCCTACAGCTGCTTCAGGAGCTGCCCAAAAAAGCAAGTGAACATCCTGCTGATGAAAGGACACTCCAAGGCCATGTTCTTCAACATCTTTCCTGGGGTTTCTAATGCCAGGAACTTGTGGTTTATCAGACAAAACCTACCAGGCTCCCCCTCCAAGGAGCCTAGAAACCAGTCAGATCAGAAACCAGTGAACAGCCCCCACGGTGCTGCTTCATCACCCAGGACAGCAGCAGCCAACACAGAGCATCATCTTCCCCAAAGTGGTGAACAGTTATCCTAAAGCTGATTTTTAAAGCCACTCCATGGAAACCCACTGTTATGTCCCCAGAATCGGCCTTAAGCACTGGAGGGACCTGAACTCCGAGCTCATCCTCTGGGGAAGCCAGTGCCCTCCCCATGAGCCAGCGCAGCCCAGTCTCCTCGGGACGTCCCCCTCGCAGGCCCTCCCAGGGCTCATGATTCACAGGGCGTGGATTTTATGGCTGCTACCTAATCTCCTCTTCAAACTGGCTGTACTTTTTCCTAGTCTCCCACTTGTCAAATTAAAGCTCCTTATTACTCTATTTTTCCAGTGCAATAAAACAGAATGGCTCTACTTATCGAATTTGCCCCGGTGTGCTGGGCACCCCAGCAGGTCACCACCAGCCGCTGAAAGACCCAGCTTGTGATCGCTAAACACAAAAATGAAAAAAATAACAAAATATTCTGAGAACTTCCAATAAAAATATTAATTTGGTTTGCTTCATTTAGATCTCAAGAAAGCTTTAGAAAATAAAAAGAAAGAAAGGAGGAAGGGACGGAGGGAAGGAGGGAGGGAGGGAGAACAGTTAAGGTTAGGGTTCAATCCCTGGTCGGGGTTTATACCGGAGGCAACCAATTGATGTTTCTCTGTCACATTGATGTTTCTCTCTCTCCTTCCCTCTAAAATCAATAAAAACATATCCTTGGGTGAACATTAAAAAAAATGTGCCGACCTTAATTAAAAATACTTTATTGCTAAAAAATGCTAACCATCCTCTGAGCCTTCCAGACACATCCCCTTGTGCTGGTGGTGGGTCCTCCCTCAGGGCTCTATCTGAGATGCACAATGAGGGAGGGCTGCATACTCTTGGGATCTCATCTAAAGAAAGTCACACAATGTTTGTCCTTCTGTGACTGGCTTGTTTCACTGAGCATAACATCTTCAGGGTTCATCCGTGTTGTGGCCTATGTAGGAACTTCTCTCCTTTGTCAGCCTGAATAATCCTCCACCACATGTATGGACCACAGTTTGCCTAACTTTTCACATGTCAGTGAACACATGGGCTGCCCCACGTTTTACTACTATGAGTGATGCTGCCATGAACACAGGTGTACAAATATCTCCGTGCCCCTACTTAACGTTCTTTTAAGTACATACTCAGGCATCGCTGGGTCACATGGCAACTTCACATCTAATTTTTTGAGGAATTGCTGAACGTTTTTACATTCCCAGCAACAGTGCACAAGGGTCCCAGTTTCCCCACATCCTCGCCAACACCTGTTTTCTGTTCCTGTTAGTTATAGTAGTCATACGGATGGGTGTGAGGTGGTATGTTTACCCTTTGACTTTCTTTGTAAAGCACAGTTGACCCTTGAACAACACGGTTTAAACCACGTGGGTCCACGCATTCTCAGATTTTTTTTTCCAATATGCAGTCAGCCCTCATATCCCCAGGTTTCACATTTGAGGATTCAACCAACTGAGGATCGGAAACAGTATCTTCCACCTGCGGTTGGGAATGCTGGGAATCGTGGATGCAGAGAGCCCACTGCATGCTACACCCCATTTTACATCAGGGGCTTGAGCATCCTGGGACTCTGGTGTCCACAGGGGTCCCAGGACCAACCCCCTGTAGATCCTGAAGGGTAAGTAACTGTCCCTTATCCTATGCAGCCACATTAATTTTCATTGTGGACAAGGTCTGTTGGGTTTTTGAAAACATTTAGAAGGTTAATAAGAGTTATATATTTCTACATACATCCCAAGAAGAGGAATGACAGTGGGGAGAGAGAGAGAGGAGCTCTGTATCTGACCAGCGAACATTCTGTGCTCCATTCAGTGGCCCAGGCACACTTCTCTGCCCCACCTTCTGACAGGTGGAGTCATGCTGTTACCACTGGCAACCACAATCCGGGCCAGCACTTTTGTCATCACTCCCCATCAGCTACGCACGCACAGCACATGATCTTGTGAGATCGGATGACGGCTGCTTTGCTCTGTCCTAGCCAGCCTGTAATTGTCCTAGAGAAAATAAATACTGCCTGTCTCCATAAATTGAGGCCTGTGTGTTTATATTTACATTTAAATTGCTTTCTCTTTCCAATGAATTCAAAGCTATTATCTTATGTAACGTTAATGTGATTCTATGTCAGGGAGGACAGTGGAGGTGTGGGAGGAAAAGCTCGGAGAGTGGTTAGGGCACTGGGGCTGCTTTCAGTCCAGGACGGAGGGGAGGGGACAGAGCTGCAGCCTTTATCCTGCTGTGCCACTTATGTCTGCAATCAAATTAAACACACACACACACACACCCATTTCCTTCACTGAGGGCAAATGAACTATTTTTTTAAATAAAATTGTTTTTTTAAAGCTGTCCCCAGATGAAAGGTGCAGAAAGTTCAATCACAGGAGCCTGGAGTGGTGCGTGAATGAACCGCCCGTCCCGTGTGAGAACGTAGTCCGCAGGTGCTAGGGCGGGCAGGGCCAGTCGGACCAAGGCAAGTTCTGTGGTCACTACTCTTCTCCAGCCCACCACTCATTCACTCTGCACAGAAGTGCACCCATAAAGAAAAGAGACAGAACCTTGCAGAACTGTCAGCACTTTGCCCCCAGGGGCCATGAGTGTAGGCTGCAGCCCCATGTCAGCGGTCTTAGACCCAGGACCATTCTCGCTGTGAGCTGCTCCAGGCACCTGGTGTTTGCCTCTCATTCCCTCAGGTGGTGTTTCCTCCTCAGGGGGCACCTCCCTGGGACTTGATGAAAGGGCCCAGTGGGTGAATGTCCTCTGAGAATCAGGCTGCCCCCACAGGCACCCAGGTCTCACTGAGAACCAGGATGGGAGTGAGAGGTGCTTGTGCCAGGTAGAAAATGCCAGGGCAAGATCCAGGCAGCGACCAAGTCCATCCTCCCACACACACCCTAAACGAAGGACAGAGACAGGCAGCGAGTGAGAAGAGAACCCGCACCTCACGCTGGCCTCCCAGTGCTGCCAGGGTTCCAGGTGCAGACCCAGTTTGACTTTAGGGAAAGCCGCCCTGGCCCAGTGTCCTTTGTGGATGTCCTGGCCCCTCCCCTTACTTTCGAAGGGTGGCTATCAAAGCACATGCTGCCCCATGTTGCCCAAGACACCAGGTTTTCCTCTTCTTCCAAGAGGCAGCCCTTCTGAGTGTCCGGCTGTGGTCTCTGAGACTCACAGGGTGGGAGTGTGGGCACCGGCCCCATCCAGAGCCCAGCAGCTGGGAGGGCTCCTTGCTCAGTATCTCAGACCCTGCCTTGGGGGCTTTGTGCCCTACCTGAGGGCACAGAGCACCAAGCTCTTGCTCTTCGCCCATGAGGGGGAGGGGCTAAAGGGTGAAAAGCTTGCCCACTGGCAGAGGGAGAGCGCATGGGTGCGAGGAGTAGGGAGAGCTTGTGGGCGGGAGGGGCGGGAGAGTGAGCGTGGGTGCGTGGG